CGACGACCTTGTCCTCTACGACGTCTACTGGGGTAGCCGCCTCTTCGTCTGCAACCCAGCAACGCGGCGGTGGGCAATGCTGCCGCCGCCGTGGCCAGAACCGGAGCACGAGCCCAGCGCGTACGCCGCCGCACACCGACGATGGCCGCGAAGAAGGGAAAGGCCGGGGGAGAGGGAGAGATAAGGGAGAGAGAGGGAGGGAGGAGGAAGAAGGGAAGGAGAGGGAGGATGACATGTGGGTCCCACAATACTTTATTTGTGTGAATGATATATAGGTCCCACATATTTCTTTTTACTTTTTATTTTATTCTAATGCCACGTAAGCGCCATGTAGGATAAATACTTGGTCAAGACTGCCACGTAGGCGCCACGTCATCCAAAACCACCCAGGGGCATTGTTTGCACCGGTTTTAATAGTTAAGGAGTCGATATATCCGGTTTTATAGTTGGATGACATGAATCATACTCGGACTCGGACGATAGTTGAGTGAGTCAAAGTATACTTTTTCCATTTGGGTTTGCCGATTTATGGGCATGTTTCCATTATTTTGGGCCTGTTTGTTTTATTTAGGACCCATATTATGATCTTTGGGCTTGAGCCCATTTTGAGCCACATGAGTCTCAGATAGTGCATGTGGCCTATTTGTTCATTTTGTTTTTTTTATATGATTGTCTTCTGTTAGATGTAGATCCAAAGGGTAAAAAATCTGCATTATAGGACATTAAAAAAATCTGTTAAATGATGTGTAGGCAGTACTGTAATTTAATGGCAAGAGATGATAGAGGCAAAATAGACTTGTTCCTTGGTACGGGTGAAAACGGGACGGGTATTTCTCGCCCGCTTGCCCAACCGTATTAATCTAGGATAAATTCGGGTACCTATTTTATGCCGGATATGATATCGGGTTCAGTAGGGTGGTATCCGACGGATATGGAGTACCTGTTAAATTGTGCGGGTATTACCGATAAACTACCCGTATATTATCCGGACTGCTACCACCACCACTCCACCAGGCCAACAACCCAACAACCCAAAAGGCCCACCAAACACTAACCCTAGCCACTTAGGCTGGGTTTGGAATCAGCCGTTCCCAACTTACACAGTGCGCATGAAAAATAGAGCAGTCTATTAGTGCGCGATTAATTAAGTATTAGTTTTTTTTTCTTCAAAAATGAATCAATATGATTTTTTTAAGCAACTTTCGTATAGAAACTTTTAAAAACACACATCGTTTAGCAGTTTAAAAAGCGTGCACGTAGAATACGATGGAGAGGGGATAGGAACCCCGTAATTTTGACAAATTGACCCTTCTATAAAACTTATTTTCAAAATAAGCCATGTCAAAAACTAATTTTAAAACTAGGCCGTGACCTCAGCGCCAACCCCGATGGCGCTGAACTAAAACGTTCGCAGCGCCAGCATTGTTGGCACTAAGGTCATATCTGACATGGAACATATTAGCCATAATTGAGGTTCAGCGCCAAATAAGTTGGCGCTGACCTCTTAGAACGTTTAAAAGTAGTGTGGACAATAACTAACACAAGTTTCATTCAATTTAAATGTTTTTATCGTTCCTTGGTAAGAACTGAGAACCTAAATCATACAACATAAAATTCAAAATTCAAAATTATAATAATTGAACTAAGTATTTTATTGAGATTAACATTTTAATTAATGTTTTCAAATTTGTTTATTCCAGATTGAACATAAAATAAATAATCCCCATAAAAAGTAAAATAAAAATAAATCTACAAACAAAATATGTGATTGTTTGGAAAAAAAAATCAATAGAACAAGAATCATGCAACATAAAATTGAAAATACAAAATTATAATAATTGAGCTAAGTATTTTGTTGAGATTAACATTTTAATTAATGTTTTCAAATTTGTTTATTCCAGATTGAACATAAAATAAATAATCCCCTTAAAAAGTAACATAAAAAGAAATCTACAAACAAAATATGTGATTGTTTGGAAAAATAAATCAAAGGGGGATAAGTAAGAAAGAACCTGAAAAGGGGCTTCCCCAGTTCGAACTGGCAACCTGAGAGCAGGTGCAGAACAGCAGAAGGGCTGACAACTGAGCTAGCTTCTGCATTATGTGTGGTGTTTGTATCTCATGAAGATAAAGATTAAGTGTTTCACGCAAAACGAGGTGGTAATAATATGTGATTAATTAAGTTTTAATTATTATAAACTTAAAAAATGGACTAATCTGGTATTTTAGAACAACTTTTATATACAAAGTTTTTTTTTACGAAACGCATCGTTTAGCAGTTTGAAAAGCGTACCACGATAATATAAAATTTTATCCTCCACTAGTAGAAGAAACGAACAGCGGCAGCACACATATGCTTTTAAACCACACAAATATCAGCGCCAACACACATAGCGCTGAGCTCCTCTTTTGTCGCTAATCCGTGCCACGTTGGACGTAATATTAGCGCCAGCCGCTAATTAGGGTGGCGATGGGACGTATTATGTCAGCGCCATTAGGGTTGACGCTGAGGTCATGGCCTAGTTTTAAAATTAGTTTTTGACACGGTTTATTTTGAAAATAAGTTTTATAGAAGGGTCCATTTGTCAAAATTACGGTAGTAACCTTGGTTTCAAACACAGCCTAAATTATGTCAGGCAGCCAGGCAGGAGCCACACGCACTTATGTCACCGAGGGAGCCACACGCACGTACGTCACCAGGAGAGAGTCGTGGGACGATATTCACACGTATCAGGGACGTACAATACGTATCGGACAAGTATCGGTAATTCTTTTATTTGCTTGAAAACCGAGAAAATGTCGGATACGTACGGTATATGTACGTATCTGTATCCGTCGACGTATCGGGGATTCGGGGTAACGTAGCTCGCCAGCGCCCAACACCGCCATCGTATGTTGCGTTGCCGCGGCGCTGGCTGCTAGTGGCTACGCTGCCGTGTGCCCGCGTCCGCCAGCCACCGTGTCGTACGTCGCCGCGTGGGACTTTGATACTAATGTAGTAGTACCGTTACTTACGGAGTTATTGATACATGACATATATTTGTCCATATTTGTTGTATTAGAATATATCATATTTAATTATAGATTTGTTTTTTTAAGGGGTATATGGTATATATATATATATATATATATATATATATATATAATTGTTGCTTTGATTTGATATCCGAATAAATATTCGCAACCAATAGTATTTGTGTCCATCTTGGTAAGTATTCATTCTGTATTTATCCCCCGATATTATCCGGGCCTATATTCTATCCGATAATATCCGTCTCCGACCCAATTCAAATTATAAAATATGGGTTAGATATGGGTTCTTTAAATCAAACTATTACCGGGTGTTGATTTCTGAAGGGGGGAAAATAATCTCTCTATTTATTGTTTGCGTGACTTGTTTAGTGTGTGTTCTGGATTCCAGATAAGGTTTTAAAAAGTTATTATTAACTAATACTCAAGAGGTTCAGTTTGCCATGTAGTTTCCATTAAATCTGAATGCATCAATGCATCAATCAATGTAAGGCCAAGCATTTATGTAAAATGTGTTGTTAGTTGTAGCTAAAACAATATCAAGATATACTGAATTATGTTTACAGTAGACTGTTAACATCAGGGGCAAAGCTAGGATATGATATGACATTGGGGGGTGGGGGAGAAGGGAATGGGGGGAGCTGCAAGAACAAATGGCCAAAGTCCATATATAATAATCACAGCTTCTACATTGGTTGGGCTAGGATTTTCAATTGCAACAGAAAAGTCCTAGGAACAACTAGCTTATAGAATCAATCAATCGTCTTCCTCTTCATCTTGGCTGAAGTTATGATGGGAAATCCCAAAATTCAGAACTCACAAACTGACTGATGTCTACATGACTACATTGTCTATGTGTCTAAATCAGGGACTAGTGAATACTGGACTTGTAAAAGAAAGGAGAACAATTGTTATTTTGTTGTGTTGGGGGAGAAAAGGAGAATGAACTCACCTCTGGACTACGGCTCGCAGCGTGCTGGACTGTGCTTGACGGCGAGATGCACCGCACGCGATTGCTGTCGCTGATGAAGGGTGAAGTCGCGGAGAAGCTCGCTGCCGTCTGCTGACACCGCATGCTGCGTTTTTGGGTCGCCGATGGCTGCTGCTCTCGCTACTGTGCGTGAACTTGCGAAGCTGAAGCGATGGGCACTCGATAAAAAAGGCAGACAGTTTTTACTAATGGGCTTACCAGCGAGGGAGAATTTGGTTTTTTTTTTTTTTGAGGGGGGGGGGGCGCAAATCTGGTAGGGAGGTGTTGGCACTGGTTAACATCCTCTTTATAGGGCCTGTTCAGCCAGCACCAACAGTTACGTGCACGCACAAGGAAGTGCAGCAGCTGCAGTCCTGGCTGCCGAACAGAGCCATAGATCTCTCATAGAGCATCTGAGTTCACCTCAAATATATACTCCCTCCGTTTCATATAATAAGAATTTATAGTATTGCCTACATTTATATAGTTGTTAATGAATCTAGACACATGTGCATCTATATGAATGTGTGTGGGCAATGCTAGAAGTTCTTACATTGTGAGACGGAGGAAGTAGTCAGCTAGATGTTTCTTGCTTTGTTCAGTATTTGATATTGTGGAATCGTCGCTGGTCCATGGAATGTATATCAAGTTTGCTGATTTATAACTTATATGCAAGAGTTCCTTAGCAGTATATTCTATGCTTCCTACAGAATGAATCTGGGCAGATTTTTTTATGATGTGCTTTACTCACTAAGTCAACATTGTGACTATAACTCAACATGTTCTAGTTCAATAGAAAAGGTTATATAGAATTAGAGGTTATGGATCGATTATCATATTGTATCCTAAAAACTGTAGAATATGTGTATCTTTTTTGTCTTTCAGCAATTTACTTTCTTCATGCAGGTGTTGCCGGCTTGCCGTATGACAAGCTAATTTGGAACGACTCCGGTGGCATAAATTACAGGCCCAGTCTTCTCACGGGACCATCTGAGCAAAAAAAGGCAACTTACTGGAGTATTATATTTTTAGAAGGTCATTTGAATTGTATGACACGTTCTTAAGGAAATAGGATGGATCTGTGGATATCCAACCTGCCCTATAGTCAATTGCCTGAATTACCTGAGCTATCAGAGCTAAGCATTACAGGCTATTGTTATACCATTCTATTGCTAGTCGAAGTAAAATAGAAACAGACAAATGCTAAACAACTGGAGTACTTCCAGGGTTGTCTTTCAGCGGAAAAAAAAATCTGATGAGATGTCAACATAAAATGTGACTGCAGTGTATCGAGTAGTACATACGACTGTGTAATGCTCAACAGCAACGAACACAAAGTATCACAAAGTATCACTAATCACGGGACAGACGCCTCGTCACGGACGGGGGGAGACTGTCTCGTGGGTGTCCGTCCAGCTCGGGGGGTCGCGGAACTGGGTGCTGAAGCTGGGCTCTGAGCTCAGTCGCTTCGGCATCCACTCTGTCATACGAAGCAAGGTGGGAGAGGACTGTACTGACTATAGAACGGATTGTCTCCCGATTGGGAGACTCGGCCTGTGCCCTGGCACATTCCTCGACTCCCCGAAGACCTTGAAGCAGCTCCTGAATCAGTTCTTTTTCCTTCAGTAAAGACGAGTAAAGGCTTTGAAGCTTCTTGTTGGTGGGGGACAGGTCAGCGTCAGCTTCGGCGGGAACACCAGCAGCAGCACGAGCCGGGGCCTCAGCGCCGCCATCGTTCAGAGCGGCACGCCGCGCGTTCCTCTCACGCCTGATGCGACGACGGCCTGGCTGCGCACACATCAAACATACCAACAATTAATTTGCTAGGCATGTTAATTTGCTAAGAATTAAACGCAATTCAGTCATTCAGTGTACTCGAACCTCTCGGCCGACAGCGCCGCCACCTATAGCTGGTGGGCGTGGGGCATCTGCTGCGCCCGCCACGGCAGCGTCTTGATCACCACCGCCTCCTCTAGCTGGTGGGCGTGGGGCATGTGCTGCGGCCGCCACGGCCTCGCCCTCATCGCCACCGTGGAAGAACAGCTAAAACATTGCAAACACTCGTGTCAAAATGAAGAAACCTCAAAATAAAATTACACTTAAGCTCGCTGGAGCTAACCTGGCGGCGGATGAGAGTGAGACGGTGTCTAAGATGTACGGGCAACATGGAGAGCTGGTGCTCTCCGCGCTGCCCGGCTCCCAGGTCGATCTCGTCGCCGCGCATGTAACTATGTAAGCGAGACTAGCTCCTGGGAGGTCATCTCCCAACACGCGCCGCGAGCTCCCTGAACCATCCCGGCGCGGCCGCCCAGTCAACCCACACGTCTCCCCCACCGTTGAGGAGAGCCTCGCCGACGCCGTGCACGACGTCGCCGGCAATGTAGACAAACTGATGCAGCGTCCGCCCGTCGTGGACAAAGGGCATCCAGAAACGTACGTCGAGGTTTGCGTTTGCGGTTGTGAGCACCGGAACCCAAACCTCACGGTGACGGTCCGCGCGGGGAGGGCGTCGTCCGCCTCTCGCCTGGAGCTCCAGGTCGACGCCGACGCCGCGCGCTCCTGTCCCGACGAACGGAACAGAGTCCTGATCGCTCGCCGAAGGAGGGCCACAGCGCTCGCTCCCTCGAGCCGCGCCATGGCCTCCATCGTTCGGCGTGCCCCCGTCTCTCGCCTGGAGCCCCAGGTCGACGCCGACGCCGCGCGCTCCTCCCCCGACGAACAGAGGAGAGTCCCATCCCCATCTCCCGCACCCGCGCCCAGGGGACGCCGCGTGGTCGGCGAAGCGGCTGGCCTGGCCTGCGACGCGCGGCGAACTGGAATTGGCGTCCCCGCCGCAGCGCCCGCGCCCGCGAGACGCGGCGTGATCGGCGGAGCTGGGGCTCGCTTGGCCGCGGCCGCGGTGGTGGTGCTGTTGCGTCGAAACATTGCCACCGCGACGCACGTCACGCACAGCGTGGTCGGCGTGGCCTCCGCCGTGCCGAGATGAAGCGGAAGTAGCGTCCCCGCTGCGGCGCCCGCGGCCGCGAGACGCAGCGTGATCGGCGGAGTTCGGGCCCGCTTGGCCGCGGCCGCGGAGGTGGTGCCGCGGCGAAGCAGGACCACCGTGCCCTCCGCCGCGATGCCCTCGCCCGTGGCCCGCGGCGATTGCGATCGGACCCTCCTGGCCGCGCCCACCGCGGCCGTGTCCTCCAGCCGGAGGAGCGTGGCGGGGGAGGCGCGCGTGTGCCTCGGGAGCTCCCCGAGTCTGGCGATGGCCGCCGCGCCGCTCCCTCATCTTTCCTTGGTGGGGAAGGCGAGGCGCGCGCAACGTCGGCGGCGGCGAGGGATGGGGATACGGGCGCAGTGGCGGGTGGTGGAGGCGACGGGGAAGAGGTGGGGAATGGAGGGGGATTCGAGGGGTTGGCGGTGGCGGAGGCGGAGTTGATGGTTATAAAGCCGTGGGGAGGAGGAGGCGACGCGAAGACGAAAGGTTCTAGAAGCTTAGCTCATCGGCGAGAGACGCGAAGACCATCTTGTTGCGCACGATTTGCGAAGGAAACAGCGGCGAGGTGGGCCCGCGCGCGCTCGGCACAGCAGCCGTTGTCCGTTGCCTCGCGGAGAGCGGAGAGAGGAGAGGGGAGAGAGAGATGGAGGGGAGTTGGGGAGAGAGAGGAGGAAGAGGAGGGGGTGATAATGACACGTGGGACCCCTCCATTTTTAAATTAATTTTTTGATCTAACTAACATATGGCCTCACAATTTTTATTATTTTTTAATTAAAATACCACGTAAACGTCACGTCACTGTCAAATTAGCCACGTAGGCGTCACGTCAGTGAAAACCGCCGTCTAAACCGCCATGAAACTTATATTGCAATGGTTTTGACAGTTGAGGGATCCGTTGTATCTGGTTTTCCGGTTGAAGAACGTTAATTAGATTCATTGGCAAGTCAAGGGACCTCAGATGAACTTATTCCATTCGTGCAACTATGTAGTCCGTTTCCTATTTCGATCAGTGGGTTTCCTTTTGCGCTTTGGGCTTTTCAGTTGGGTTTACATCTGGGCTTCTGTGGGACCCAATTTTTTATAAAATTCTTTTTTTGAATTTTTGTGGACCCACTGGCACTGTTTGATTTTTTGAAATCCGCGCTATCTTTTGTTGCCCAGAGAGAGAGATCTTTCTCTCGTTCTCGTCGTCTCAGGCAACACGGCGACGATTTCGCTCGGCGATGCGGATGCGGCTGTTTCTTCTAGCACGAGATTCTACAACTCCGGCAATGACTGCTGTGACGCAGCGCTCTGCTCAGCTGCATCAGAACTTGACGCGGTGGCAAATTTTCTGGTAAGTACTTTCCTCTTTCTTCATCCTCTTCATTCTATTTCGACGATGCGGACATGACGAGGTTGCTTGCGATGTAGTTCGTTGACTCATTCCGTTTAGGTGTAGTCTTAGTCATATATCTGAGTTTTTATTTGTTTTGTTGTTTGATTCCGTTATTTAGTTGTATTTAGTTCCCTTTAGTTTCAGTTTTGAGTACTTTTGCGATGCATGTTTCTATTTCTGTGGATCCCTATGTTTTCAAATTGATTTTGCTTTGTTGTATTGATTTTGATCTGGATTTGTTTGTTGGTTTTTTTGCCTAGATTTTGTACTATGTGTTGCTTTCATGTCTACAAAATTTATTCACATCTAGTTTTCCGATTTGTTTACTAGCTCGAGATATTGCCGGTGAACTAGATCAGTGCTTAAGTTTCATTTAGATCTCTGCTTGTGGTTGCTTTTGCTTGTGTGAACTAGATCTGAGGTTAAGTTTACTTCATTTAGATCAGTACTTTTATTTTCTTTTCCTTGTGTGAACTAGATCTCTGGTTTTGTTCGTTTATGTGCACATTATTGTCTTTTTAGGAACAATATGTTAGTCTTTTTTATGTTTTTTTCAATTTATTGTTTGGATTCATTTGTTCAATTATTTGTTATTTCAGTAGTTAGAATTGCAGCTAGTTATGAAACTATTAGCATATTAAGTTATTTGTCTTTTGTTATTTGTTATTTGTCTTTTGTCTTTGTATCCAGAAGTTGAGTACTAGCAGTCACATATTTTGTATATTAGTTGGCACTGTAATTCTGTGAAGAATAAAATCCAAATAGGTGAAGATGGCACTAGCAGTTATTTTTTTAGACTAGTCCATTTTCATTGAATAGTCTGCAATATAGAGCGCGAACGGCTTGCTCGGCAGCGGTGGCAGTGCCTGGAGCGCGCGCGGCCTGCTTGGAGGGAGTTGTTGAGGAGGCGGCGATGTCATACGCGTAGGCGGAGTGGATTGCGTTCTTGGTCTCGTCGTGGCTGTCGGCGACGTAGACGACGCCGTCACTGCTGATGCAGCCGAAGAATCCCCAAGAGTTCGGCATCACCGTGCCACGCCGCCACACTCCTGATGGAGATGCAGAGTCAAGCCCTCCTCTTCTACCTTCAATCTCCTGATGGAGAGGTCGCGCAGGGAGTGCGGTGCGGCTTCAGCTCCAGGTCGACGTCGGCAGCATGACCTAGCTTATGCATCAAAGTTGGGAGGCATGCTTGATTTTAAAGACACTTTTGGGATGACATGTGCAGGGAATCGGCTTGGAGCTCACCGGAGAAGGAATAATCAGCGGCGGAGGCGGAATACCGGCTCCAGGGAAGAAGGTTGCGATCTCCATGCTCATTGCACCATTGATTCGGTTTCTTGAGGGGAAATGGAGAGGTTATCGAGGGAAAGTCGGTGGCACGATGGCTCGGACAATCGTTCCCCACGACAGCTGGCGCAACAATGGAAATGTAGCGGTGCTGAACAGTGCGCGCTCGAGAACATCCGGGCACCCATAGGGGCAATTTGGTCCAAACAGGTCAAAATGTGGGCCTGCTCAAGGCTAGTCAATGCGAATATACTAAATAAATGGGTGTGGTGTCTGCTAGCAAATAACCATGTTTTGAGAGTTTTTCCCTCAAAAGAGACTTCGTGCAGTGTCCTGCAGCTAAAACCACGAAATCGCGATGTCCTGTAGTAAAATTTGCCTTTTAATAACTACAACTCAGTGCATCGTGGGCGACATTATATACAAAATAGTATAAAGTATTTGCAAATAAATTGTATGTTGCATATATAACAAAATTTATGAGTTTAACCCGTTGGGACTGATGTTTCGTGTGGTAATTGTCGTTCTTTCGGTCAGTATAATTTTAATTGATGCATCTCTCTAAAATTTACTATTTCTAACTAGAATGCCACATAGGCGGCCACGTAGGATGAAACCGCTATCGAACCATGTACGGATGTAAATTGATTTGGTTTTAATATTTCGGGGAACTCCATATCTGGTATGTGGTTTAAGGATTAGATTTCCAAAAGTAAACTCTTATCGGAGTAAGTTCACTATAGGTCTCTCAATTTATCACTGAGTCTGAAATCCATCCTTGAATTGTAACCAGATATGTGGCACTCAACTCCCAAAACCAGCACAAATAAGGTCCCAAAGTGGTTTAAATGGTGATTTTGGCTGACATGTCGCCTACATGACGTTGCGGCACTTAAAGTAAAAGAAAAATGTGTGACCAGGTCAGTGAGTATTTGGTTAAAAATAAAAAAAAATACGGTGGGATCCACATCATCAACCCCTCTCTTTCCCCTCTTCTCTCCCTTCCTCCTCTCTCTCACCCTTTCTCACCCAAGAGCATCCCGCCGGCCACCCAACACCGTGCTCACCACCAACACCTCCAACTTTCGCGCGCATGGTGCAAGAGTTTACTGTCTTCCCAGCCCCGCCCTTCGCTGCCGCACCATTCGACGACTATGAGAGAAGGCAACAAGGTGCATGGCACCGTCACCACCACCCTCCTTGGGCGCTGACGGACGAGGAAAGGGAGAGAAGAAGGGAAATAGAGATGGGCGATGATGTGGGTCCCATTATAATTTGTTATTTTTAACTAAACAATCACTAACCACCATAGACGCCACATCAACCAAAACCACCATGCAAATTAACCACCGTGGGATCATGCATATTTGCACCGGTTTTGAGAGTTGAGGGACATATCATAGTATTGTGGTATTGTGATTTAGGGACGGATTTCAGACTCGGTGATAAATTGAGAGACCTAAAGTGAACTTATTGCACTTTTATTCCTTGTTGTTTAGCTGCATCGATGAGGCCCATGCTGCCATCAACAACCACTACGTCCAGATCAGTCCAGCGGCCGGGCGAGCAGCCGATAATAGGATCGGGCTTCTCATGAGCACCTCCGCTACTAAAGTTCGTTTCACGGCCCATGTTGAATTCGATCAATCCCTTAAATTGAGCCCACGTACGTACGCTGTTACGTTGATTAATTAGTACGAGAGACCGACACGACCACGTACCCTACCGGCACGCGGCACATGCATACGACACCGCATCGATCGATCGGCAGCGCAGCATCGATTCCGACTCCGACTCCGATTCGGGCGCGTACAGCCAGCAGCGTGCATTGGTTTTGGCACCCTCTATATATTCTACGTACGTACAAGCAGGTCGGTACGGGTAAGCTAGCTACTCCCTCCATTTTCAAATATGTGATACCGTTAACTTATTAGCACATATTTGACCATTCGTCTTATTTAAAAACTTTTATAAAATATATAAAACTATATGTATACATATAAGTATATTTAACAATAAATCAAATAATAGGAAAAGAATTAATAATTACTTAATTTTTTAAAATAAGACGAACGGTCAAACATATTTAAAAAAGTCAACGGTGTCAAATATTTAGAAACGGAGTGAGTACGACCCAGCAGCTAATTAAGCTACGCCAACCCGCCACTGAAATCCAGCAGCAGAGCACGTACATACGTAGGAGTATATAGGAATAGGAGACAGCAAAGAAAGAGAACAGACTAGGATTGTTGGCATCAGGAATCTGAAGATTACGTTGATCACTAGTCCGAATCTGAAACTTAATTAAGGAGATGGTTCCCCGTCGGACGTCCTGGTGTTTGCGTATCATCACACCACCTGCGTATGCAGTATGGCCAAAAAAAAATCGGTCCTTCAAATTGCAGTTGACTAACGAGTGAAATATTAAGTTATATAGGGTGAAAGAAAAAAATCAGCAACTGAAACATTTAAAAAGTTTATGAAACATGAAGAATATACGCGTTGAAACATATCGCTATCATATATGAAACAAACAGTTTTAATGGATTGAAACATATGTTTTTCTTTCATCAAAATATAATCATGCAATATCTTGTTGTAAAGATTTAATTAAAAAAATACAACGGTATGATTGCATCGTAGATTGGATAATTAGTTTAAGAGAAAAAATGTTTTCAAACTAGCTAAAATGCACGCATGCATGCCTGAGGTGGAGAGAGAGGAGAGAGAGAGTAGTAACAGATAGTTTTGTGGATTTTGTGAAACACGCTGAAGACACATATTGAAATATGTCCCTATTACATATGAAATAAAAAGTGTTAATGGATTGAAAAATATAATTATTTTTTATCAGAATATAATGATGCGATATCTTGTTGTAAAGATTTAATTACAACGAATACAAGATGTGATCGGATTGTAGATTAGATAAGTAATTTAAGAG